CACGCAGGAGCGTTCCCACAGCGTCTCGACGCAGCTCGAGTTCCCTTGAAAGGGAACCCTGGTTCCTATCCCATGGTCCCTTGCTGGGAGCTATTTGTCGTCGCAAGATGCTTACGATGGATGCTTCCCTCACGGGATGGGGAGCGATCCTAGAGGGTCACTCAACTGAAGGGGTCCTATCATACACCCGGTGCAATGTTGCAAATGTTTTTTTGCTAGTTTCAGCCCGACGCAGTTATCATTTTCACGTCCTGCACCACGTTTTTTAAATAGCAAATGCATTTGCACCCATTTGTGCGCCAATGGGCGTGCTGGTCTGAAAACAAGGTGTGTTCAGGCGCATAGTTGGCGTGTTGCTATTTTGAGGCAACTGAAATAGACTGCGCCATTGACCAGGACATCTCAATTCTCTAATTGCATCGCGAGGAGGCGAGGATCGAGGAGTGAGGAGGCTTCCAGAGGAGCTATGAGCGAGGATGCACAGTTGCATGCTTTGCGGAAGTGTTTTATCGACTAAACGTGACGCACGTATCAATTCTCCTCCCCCTTCACGTCGGTCACAATCATTTTAATTTATACTTTACCTTTGCAGTTTATATAAACCACACATCTCACATATTTCAACAGGGTATCTTGCTTTATTATTATTTATTACTAATTTCTTAAATTACCAAAATTCTACAACATAAGGGCAGATCCTTTGAGCGCAGGTGATGACGCTGTGAAGTGACGCTCGAGTGATCAAGTATTCCAAAGTATAAAAAAACTTTCATTCGATTCCTCCGTCCTCATTTTCTTTCCTTGCAGCCTTCCCTCGCATCCTGCAGGGGGTGGAGCTGAGACGCGAGGAAAGGAAACGAGGAAAGGAAACGAGGATGCACAAATAAGAAATGAGAAGCACCCCCTAAGTGTGCTTGCCCCATTGCGCTTTAGCCCAAGCGATTAGACCGTTAAAATAGGGCCCATGGTCTGTGAAGGGGACATAATGTTCATGGCACATCAACTGTCTGGAAATGATGGCTGTCTTTCTTTCTCTCAAGAATTTCCTCTCAGACCTCAGGGGCCACCATGTGCGTACGCTCAGACAACACAGCGGTGATCGCCTACATAAATCACCAGGGGGGTTTTCACTCAGGGCAGCTTACATCCACTGTGCCAAAATGGAGGCTCCACCCCAGTAACCACCAACGGTTAGTTGACAGGTATGAGGGTGTTCGGCCAGGCTCAAGTGGATCTGTTTGCGTCTCGAGAGACGTCTCACTGTCCACTTTGGTTCTCCCTCATGCATCCAGCTCCTCTCGGACTGGATGCTATGGCCCAGACGAGGCCGAGGCCACGTCTGTACGCTTTCCCCCCAATCGCTCTGCTCCCAGGAATTCTGGAGAGAGTTCACCGGGACAATGTCCATCTCACCTTGATCGCCCCGCAGTGGCCAGCCAGAGTGTGCTTCTCAGATCTTGTGTCTCTCCTCGACGGCTCTCTTTGGGAGATTCCGGTCAGGAGGGACTTTCTGTCCTAGGCAGGGGGGCTCAATACTTCACCTCTACCCCGAACTATGGAAGCTGTGGGTTTGGCCTCTGAGGGGTTTCCAGCTCATAGATTCTAGTCTCTCAACTGAGGTTGTTAAGACCATCCTTCACTCTAGAGCTCCCTCCACAAGGAAACTGTATGCCTTAAAGTGGAGTTTTCACTACCTGGTGCAGTGGTCATCAGGTGGACCCAGTTAACTGCCCTGTTGGTACAGTGTTGCAGTTCCTGCAAGAGTGATTCACTGCAGGGTTATCTCCGTCCACTATAAAGGTCTATGTGTCTTACCACATTCGTTTGGGTGATATGTCTTTAGGGAGAGACCCTTTGGTAACAAGCTAGTAAAGATAGGAGATTTGCAAGCTCTGTCGGTTGTCCCTTCGTGCTTGGACTTTACACCCGGCATGGTAAAGGCGTTCCTTCACCCTAGGCCAGATCTATTGTTTTGCAGGCCTTCTGTCCTCCTCCATTTCAGGATTCAGACCAGGAAAGAAATAACCTGCTATGTCCGATTCAGGCATTAGATGCCTATATCCACAGAGCTGCCCAGTGGTGTAAATCTGATCAACTGTTCATCTGTTTTGGGCCTCCTAACAAGGGGTCCCCAGCATCTACGCAGATGATGAGCAAGTGGATAGTTGAGGCTGAGTCACCGGACTTCCTTTCCATTTGGTAGTCTGAGCCCACTCTACTAGAAGTATGGCTGCCTCTAAGGCTCTATTGTCAGGAGTTTCACTACAAGATGTTTGTGATGCGGCAGGCTGGTCCTCACCGCACACATTCGTGAGGTTTTTACTACCTGGACACCAGGTGCTCGGGTGCTCTTGTCTTAACTCTTTAGGCGCCAAGTTTTTTTTTTTTTTAAATGCTGGATTTTGACATCAAAATTTCAAAAGCTTGTGGCTTGAAATGGCTTAAAGATAGAGATCTACTGTAAATTAGAAAAATGTTGGGGATGACTGAAAGTTTATGTGGGGTGTAAATATACTCATCTAATTTGCATATTATGATGTCATCAGGGGGCGGGCCTCTTGAATTTCATAATATTCAGGAAATAGTAGATATTGAACTGATGTTTGAACTTATTTGCATGTTTTATTTTTATTTTTATTTTTTAATCCTCATTCCAAATGATGAGAAAAGAGGAAACCAACAATAACAGGAGAAAGTACTAAATTATTACTATACTATATAGTAGTAAAACGCATGTGAACAGTAGCCTACTTTTTGATCAGTTCATCAGTAATATTCAGTAAATAGTAGATATTGAATTGATCTTGGAATTTATTTACATGCTTTTTTTAATTTATTTTTTATCCTCATTCCAAATGATCGGAAAAGAGGAAACCAACAATAAAATAGGAGAAAGTACTAAATTATTACTATATTACAATACTTTAGTAGTAAAACACATGTGAACAGTAGCCTAATTTTTGATCAGTTCATCAGTAATATTCAGGAAAAGACCACGTCCACCCCTGCCACCCCCATCCCCGTTGGGCAAATGGTCAAAATGATCTGTTTGTGCTTCGTGAACACTCGTGCCTTGCGCGGCAAAGATGTACCGGGAGAAGCGCGCGCGGCACCATTGCGCGGCAAAGTTGTACCGGAAGAGGCGCGGGCGGCACCATTGCACGGCAAAGATGTACCGGGAGAAGCGCGATCATTAGACGGCCGATTGTCATTTACAAAAGGCAAATATTCCCCTTCAGAGTCAGAATCGGCGAATAACATTTGCAACACATCCTCACGGTACAAGTTTTTATTAGCCATTTGACGATTTTCTCTCACAAATCTCACAATTTACTCAGACGCTCTGAACTAAACTGCTTCCGCATCAATGACACGATCGCTCACTTGCTCTGCTATTTCCTCCAACACTTTGAATAGGAACATGACGTCATTTTGATCTTGAATCGAAGTATTACATGTCTGCCATCTAGTGGTAGGGAATACAAATGAGATATTACACCATATTAGGATCTACAGCCTGTTTTATTAAGTATGACGTTTTGTCGCAATTTTGCGACTTTGGCGCTTTAGGGGTTAATGCTCTCTTCATGATTTCACACTAGACAGACAATTGCCATTATGGCGGCGTGGGTATAGATGTTCCCACAGCGTTAATCGATGCAGCGCGAGTACACTTGAAAGGGAACGCCTCGGTTACAACTGTAACCTTGGTTCCCTGAAGAGGGAACGAGATACTGCGTCGCCCTGCCATATCTCCTGCGTGCCTGTGAACGACTTGCTTCAGCCTATTAGAAGCTACCGTTACACTGTTTGGGCATGCTTTATAGTTTCCTGGTTCATGACGTTACCTACCTCTGACGTCTCGTCACACCATTGGACTGATTTCACACGTGCTTCATGACGCAATCACACACAGCGTTCCCACAGCGTCAATCTACGCAACGTCTTGTTGCCTCTACAGGGAACCAAGGTTACATTCATACTCGTAACCGATATACATGAAATCTGAAATTTGTTAGAGTGTTCTCATAGTTATTATTTTGGAATAAGTGTAAAAAAAAATGCTTAAAACACTAACTTTATTAGATTTATAGGCCGGGTTTAATAAACAATTACATTTATCACATTCATGTAAAAACACAAAATTGATTATTATTTTTTTTGATAGTATAAGCATTGTTTATTTATTTTACAGAAAATGGGAGTAACTGGAACATAAATTTTCATTGGATTAAAAACATTTTAAAAACACTGAGGACTTTGCTTCCTTATTTATTAAACTACTGTAAAATGAATTATATGTGGAAATAATGCACCTAGCAACGCCATAATCAAGAAATTAAGAAATAAAAGTATATTTCTAAATATTATAATTATTTAATGTTTTAAATTGATGCATTTGAAAATATTTCATACATTATTTGTTTGCATACACTAGGCTATCTGCACTATATCTTAATGGGCAGCAGAGGGCAATATGCTCAAAGTGATTCAGGACAAACTGCAACTTGGATCACTTTGTGTCATGACTGTGAAATTGTAATCTGTAGAGGCTATGTCACTTAGTTTTGATGTAATGTGTGCATGCTAAATAACATCACCTATTTCCATAGTAAACATACAGTAAACAGAGCACAATTATAAATCAGATGACAATGGATGACATCCACAAAGAGCTTTTCACCAGCACTGAAGCATGATAAAACGCCTCCTTTATTTTGACTACATTTGTTTATTTGGTTTGGTTATTTAATGTGCTGTTGTTAGAAATCTACAGTTGCCTTTTTTCGAGGGAATATAGGTGCAACAAAGCTAAATGAAAAAATGACAGCTCAAATTCAGACAGCAACATAGCTTCAAAGGTGTGTTGAGATTAGGATTAAATCTATCATTTTAATTATAGTTTTTTATATAAAAAATGTAAATGTACTATCATATATTCAACCTTTTTAATACTGGTTTAATATTTGTAAACAGGGCGTCAATAGGCAACATTCACTATGTATCTAAATGGATCAATATTTCCACTTGTCTTGACTTTGCACTCTTTGGAAATCCCTCAAACGAGCATTTATCCAGCATTCATGCTTGGAATGACAACATACTTGTTTATCTTACTCTGCAATCTAACAATTGTTGTCACCATTTGCTTGAACAGGAATCTTCATAAACCAATGTACATACTGTTGCTTAACATGCCTATCAATGATGCTATGGGTGCCACAAGCCTTTTTCCTCAGCTGCTGTATAGTATATGGTCTCAGGACAGATCAATATCCTACCCTGCATGTTTGCTTCAAGGCTTTATTGTACACTTATATGGTGGGGCATCATATGTTATTCTTACTGCTATGGCCTATGACAGGTATATCGCTATCTGTTGCCCGTTGAGATATGGAGCCATTTTGACAACCAATAACTTGGTGAAAATCATAACTGGGATGTGGCTTTTTCATTTTAGTGTCATAATTGTACTTTTCTCTCTTCTTCTGCCTCATCAGGTTTGCCAGACATACATGGCAGATCTTGTCTGTTATAATCCATCTATAATGAAACTTATGTGTGAAGATACAATAGTTAACAATATCTATGGATTGTTTACCATTGTTTTATACCACGGCCTTTCACTTTCTGTTGTGGCATTTACATACATTAATATACTCATCAGTTGTGTTACTAATAAGCAGTCCGATGCAAAGATTAAGGCACTTCAGACATGTGGTACTCATTTGGTCGTCTTCCTTTTCTTAGAGTTTAACACTCTTTTTCCTCTTCTTTCACATCGATCTGATAGTGTTCCAGCTCACCTACGCAGGGTGTTTTCTATATCAGTTCTTGTGTTCCCTCCCCTTGTGAATCCACTCATTTATGGTTTTAAAACTAAAGAGATCAGACAGAAAATTCTCACCTGTTTTAAGAGGAAGATAATCAGTGTCTGAACTATTATTCTTTTTTTATACTGTCTTCCTTTTTCAGAGATGTGAGTTGTTTTCAATCACCTATATGTTTATTTATAGACAGTTGTCAAACATGCAACATTATTTAAAATCTCACGAAAATAAATAGTTCAGTCATGAAACTCTATTCACATTCTGATTGGTTCAACCAATTGATTTTGTGTATTCATTACCATTTCCCTTTATAACCACACCCAAAGGATACACTATCTGTGCTATGCACAGTCTACCTCTAGTTGAAACAGCATGTTTCCATTAATTTTATGTTTTGAGCAATTAGCAGAAGCAATTCATACTTGCTCTGCAGCAGCAGCGCAGCTGCAGTCCTGCGTTTTTCCTCTTTGTCGCCATCTCTGTTCGAAATCTGCAATTGCAGTCATTCGCGGAATTATCAACTTTACGTGAGTTGTACTTCAACACCCTCGACACGGCACAGCGCGGATGAACACAATGTTTGAGGAGACTGTGAGGCTGTCAGTCACCGCGCCGGTGTGGATACTGTCATTCAGAAATGATTATTCTTTTTGGAAGTATGACCAACATAAGAATTTTCACCGGAAAATGTCATCTGAACTTGTAAGAAACATCCACCTTTGTTCTGGTTCTGACATTGCAGTAAATCGCGCTGATTAAATCTAACAATCGCTTATAAGTTATTATATCATGCAAAAACGTGCAAATTATACTCTGTTCTCAAATTGTTAATGTTAACAACGTCAGCATTGCGTGACTACATGTAATGTCCTTCCGATATGTATCCTTGTTTTCGCATGGGCCGGCTGCAGTCTCTTCTTTCTGTCGCCACTCCGAAGTCCGAACGAAGTCTTTTGCATTTTACAGCGGGTGAATCTGTTGTCACTGGTGATTGTCGTTTTAACCTTTCTGGATCCGCCATCAAATTGATAAGTTTAATTATATCAAGTGCTGTGAGAAAAGGCTATAAATCTCCACCTCCAGCATCCTCACACGCAACATACTAGCCGAGACTCCTTCTTTATGTGTACAGATGTGACGTAATGACGCAGAGACATGCTCGAATCTCCCGCGGAAATCCACCAGTACCACTAGAATTAAAAACATTATTACAAGCTTACCGCTTTGAATCGAGCTAAGGCAAGCAGAGAGTTTTGAACACTGGCTGGTTATCTATTTTCTCAAATATGTATTTTGGATAATTTTTAACCCAAAAAAAGCTACGGACTGCAGCTTTAATAAAATGTTTTACAAACTATCCCAGAGTTGTCATGACTGAAATATCACTTTTTCATGGGCATTAACTATTAAAATGTAACTACTTTAATCAATAATCTCCTGACATGCTACAATGTCTGTCTTCTATATTATGCTATGCAATTTGTTTTATATGTCATGGAGAATCTAACTTGCTGTTGAAAAAAATATATATATTTTTTTTTTCAGGTTGTAAGAGTGATTATATGTTGCATATGTTAGAATAAAAGGATTGGATATTTTGGAAAGAGACAAAACTTCCAATTTCTAATAAGATTAAAATAATTTAGCATACATAAAAAAATGTCTGTTTATAATAATTTACAAAAAAGCGTTTAGATTGTTTATACTGGTTTTATGTTTATAAACATAGGCTTGTGTAAAAATTATGTGTAAAACATTTTTGACATTATTATTATTATTATATTTTAGACTTCCTTTTTACAGATGTGAGTTGTTTTTAGTCACTATACATTCATTTTTATTTATTTATAGTCAGTAGTCAGTTTGAAAAGTAGTCAAAAGTCCTCAAATTCCTTTCTCTATAATGCTTTTTTTAAATGTACTTATAGACTTTTTCAAATAAATAAAAAGTAAAAGTATAAAGTATATATTTTGTCATATAACAAAATTATTAATAAAATGATACAGGCCTAGATTTCTGGAGAGGATTTAATACTGTTTTTTTTTACAAGTTTACATTTTCTTTTGAAATATATTATATATAATTTTATACATTTGAAAAAAAAGTCATTTCCAAGGCAGAACAATTTATTGTGTTTGATAAAAACAGACAAGTATTTGTTCACAAACATAATAACAATGTTTGACATAAACAAATAGCAATATATTTCTGAATAGGCTAATATCCATATATTTTTTTTACACAAAAGCAGCCCACTTCTGCATAAATATGACCCAAAACATCATCATATGTTCACAAAAATCTTAAAAGTAGACAAAGAGAACCCAATCAAACAAATGATACAAAAAATATACTTTGTCAATTATTTATTGAGAAAATGATCCAACTGTCAGGCCAGTGTGAGCCAGGGCTTTAAACGGGCCGGGCCGGGCCGGGCTAAAAACCCCGGGCTAGTAGCACCGAGCCCAAAATCTGTTGCGTTTCCACTGTCGGGCCAGAAGCTCTGCAGCCTGCTCTGCTAACCCATCATTTCACCAACAAATGGAAGTTTTATCAGAAAACTAATCTGAAAGAAATCACCGGAAACAGCGTGATCGCAAAACAAACATGGTAAAAGCGACCCGTTTGCTGCCATTTTTGTTGTTTACTTGAATATTTAAAACCCAAGCATCGATGTTTTACCACAGGTTTACATTACAAAAATTATACATTGATAATGTAGCCTATTAATTTGTGTCAAAATTCCACATTAGTCACACAGAAATAAAATGGTAAGCCATAGTAGGTCTATTTCACAAAAGAAAGGAAAGAATGCTAATTTCTACAAACATGCCACCAAGAGCTTTTGCACTCTCTCCCAGTAGGCTACAGTTATAGGCCTATTTTCAGTCAAAGAAACAGAGGAAGCTCCCGAAAAAAAAGTTGCTTTATTTTATGATAGTCCGGTAGGCTATAAAGAGACGAGAAGTAAAATAAAAACATGATTGTGATAACCTTTATGGTCTGATTTCTTCAAGAGTTCATATTATGGTAATGGTAGCATGCATAGTCTTTAGCATCGCGTACATTTTTACGTTATACGGTGATCAGAATCCACATCGGATCACAAACAGAAGGCATTCAAACATTAAAGTGAGTTTTGAGGTAAATTATTTTAGAAGTCTTTAATGCTGACCGAATCATCCGGCGCTGCTGTCTCGATCACAGGTAAACTCCGCCTCTGTTCGTACACCCTTCTCTAGCCCGAGTTCCACTTTGGACCAAGGTATTCGTCGGGCCAAAAAACCATGGCCGTAGGCCTCGAAGAAGCCCTGAAGGCCCAATCAAGCCCCGGAAGTGACAGTGGAAACGCGACTGGCCCTGGCATGCACTAGCACGCTCGCTTTTTGCCCCACAGTGGAAACGTAGCTATGGTCTTCCTATTCTTGGAGTTTAAAGGTACAATATGTATGAATTTTGTAATAAAATATCCAAAAATCACTTGCACAGTGTGATATATTTCCTGCAGTTGTGTACTTACAATATCCTAAAAGTCTCCAAAGATTTTTTATTTCAGAGAAATTCCAATTTTAAATAAGTGGCCGTCCCGGAAAAAAATGTCGCCTGTCAATGACGCAATATCCGCGCTTTCCTCGGTTTCCGCTTGTACTGCCATAGCCATGACGTAACCATGACGACAGACTTGGACAACTAGTGCGTAACGTTTAGCAGTTGTTGTTTCGTTCAAACATTATGGACCATGGGCAAGCAGACTTTGGGAAAAAAAGGAGAACTAAAATGAGGATCAATATCGGCGTGGCGTTTTCGAGATGCCGAGAGCTCCACGTCCGCGACTAACTTGGAGCAACACCGCTCTTGCATATACTTTATTAGACAGGTGAGCAAATGTAAAACAAAAGGATGTATCTGTGTTACCTTGCAACACATGCAACTGTCAATATAATATCACTTATAAACGTGACAGATCAATCATTATGCATATGTTGATTCACCTCAAAAACTATCAAGTGATCGTTTATGCTGATGAAAATTCACAGTTATGTTGCTCTTTGTACTTTGGTAATGCTTTTTATCACTTGTGTTTTGACCGAGATTATGGCAGTGCAATTAAATACAATCGGATATGTGTTGTTAAACAATATTTAGCCATTACTTGCAAATGTTCCTTCAAATTTACTTTGAGTACGATTGGTTTGAACACGTAAAACAACTGAAAACCAAGTGTGCAATATCTAGGGCCCTATGAAATCAGTTTTATTTTTTCCCAAATTCCGTTTTTTCCGTTTTAATTTTGGGGAATTAATTTTTTTTTACCCTTTACTGTTATTTTAGTCATAAAAAGAGTGTGCTTTTAAAGTTAATGATTAAAATGTATACAAATAAAATAGGAATGACAGACTTAAATTACAGACATTTAAGTGAGTAGCCTTTTCAGGACAAATACTGCATGATGCCACGACACTGCACTCTTCAAGTAACAACAAAATATGGTTATGAGCTTTAAAACTGTCCAGTAAAATAAATTATATTAGTTTATATAAGTTTAAATAAAAGTCACACTCTGTCTCTCTCTCGCCCAGTGTCGATTGCGGAGTTCGCTGTCCAGTCCGGCGCCTCATAGACAGACGCGGTGTGTGTGTGTGTGTGTGTGTGTATGTGAGAGAGACGCGTGAGTGACAGAGAGACGGAGGGAGAGCGGGGAAAGGAAATACAACGGAAAGAATACGCTGCGTGTTTTAAATAGCATAAAAAAATGAACGAGTCTATGTGTGGGAAACACTGCATAAAAGTCACGTGCGAACTGCTCGGCTCGGTACTGAGGGCTTATAGCGTCGAGTTTCTTAACTTTTTCGCCGACGAAAGCAGAGCCGTAGAGAGCCGCTTCGCCATGCTTTCCTTGTTTTGATGCCGTCATTGGAGCTGAAATGACGGGAGGGGTTGTGTCGCCCAGATTTGCTTCCCCGGTCTGCATTTAAAATGAAGCCACACTCTCGATCGTTTACGTCTCGTAGCCATCGCGCTTTTGGGGGATTTAAAAATCCATTCGCATACTGTAACGTCATGCCACGACGCGGGAATGGATGGAACGGAACATTCGGAATCGTTA